TAAAAAAGCCTAAATAAAAACACTTTCAAGTGGAGAGCTGCATCAGTGTGGTTTGGCTGCAAAGAAACCAGATTAATTCCAGGCTGAAAAATATTTATGTTGTTCAGAGCAGAATTAACCTTTACTTTTTTCCAAAATAAAAACAGTTGCCCAAATATTCCATAAGGTACAGGTGAAAAAAATAATACAGAGTTTCATAATTTTAAGCAATCGATCTATTCATTCACATTCAAATATTTTTCTGGAAGAGGTGCTTATCACTGGAAAACCTCACCCAGTTCATTACAAAGGTTGTTCAATTTTATAGCATTGAGTCAGATATGTTCAGTTAAGGGCAGCGTGGCACAGGTGGTTAGCGCTGCTGCCTGGGTTCAGTTCTGTGCAGAGTTTGCATGTTCTCCCCAGGTTTGTGTGGGTGTCCTCCAGGTGCTCTGGTTTCCTCCCATAGTCCAAACTGGTAGGCTAACTAGCTTCTCCGAAAATGGCCCTGGTGTGAGTGTGTGTGTCTGTGTGTGCCCTGTGATGGATTAGTGTCCCATCCAGGGTGTATCCTGCCTTGTGCCTGTTTCTTGCTGGGATGGGCTCCGGGTCCCTCCGCAATCTTGTATCAGATAAAGTGGTTAGAAAATGGATGAAGGGTTAGATTCACTGCAATATGCATACAAAAATGTAAACATACTTTTCCTGAATCTTCTTTCGTTTGATTAAGCTTGGTGTTGGAGGTTCGTTTAGATAGGCAGTGTCCTGCAATGCTTTTTTTGAACCCATGTCCAATCTGAAACTTAAAGAAGAAAAACAGAAATTCAGAATGATTTCCTTGGCTTCATGTCTATGACTGAAATTATACAGAATGCTTATACCATTATACAGTTTTTACCTTTGTTATCTTCTAATCATTCTAAACAGCCTTGTGATTTTTAACTTGAACTTTGAAGGTATGAACTTGTGGTATGAAATTAAAGCTTCAAACAACTGCATCTGGGAAAGTGTACACAGCCTAGCAATGAAATAGAGCATGCGTTCAGTTTCCAAAGTTCCACAATTTCAGTTTTAAATAATGTTATTGACTCGTCACAAAAGAATTCAGAAGACAACCAAACTTCACAACCCCATACACCTCAAACAGCATACACGCATTAAAAAGTAGAAAATACATTTGATTTTGATCAGTAAAATGTGTTCTCAACATATTTTCTGAGTGTATGTGTCAAGAACAACCCTCTTTTTACATGTTCCCAATTATGAATATACTGTAACAAAGCTCGAACCCTAACTCCTCTAGGGAGAATTCTTCTGCATCCTCTCTACAAAGGCTCCACAAATCTCTCAGTAATTTTCTTTGGACTCAGGCAGACTGCCCGCACCCTTGGCTGAAACTCCACAACTATCAAATGGGACCACAGGGGACACATTAGCATGGACAACTGCAGTACAAGCCAGAGGATATGACCTCTCCTGAGCCTACTAGAAGCTGCACAATGTGCTCCTTGGGTATTAAACCAAGGGAATGCCTGTGGCGCTGACACAGTCTGGTGATTACTGCTGTCGTCTACAAAAACAAGTTCCCTGCGGTCCCATTTGTATGTGTGTTAAATTTCATTTTTTTTTTTATCATGTGCAGCTTTTTACAAGAAAGTTGTTCTAAAAGACCACCTATCATTAGAAGTTACCATGCCCAGTGTGCCACCTAGTGGACATAATCCAAAGTACTTCAGTTCTAAAGAGTAATTTTTCAACAGTTGTGCTGTTGAATACAGTGCCTGGTAATTCAATACTAAATGAATAGCTGTAATGTAAAGATAAGAAATCTCGCTGAGAAATGTGCTGAGGATAAACATAGATCATTAAGAAAAGTCGACGTTATTAGCTGTCATATTTTTCTGTCCCTTTCACTTTGAAGATGACCTTGTGAATTTATTCCTTGTTTTGCTACTGTAGCAATTAACAAAAATTTTGCTGGTCTACTCATAAGTTTAAGAAAGTGCACAAAAAATCACAACTTTAAATTTCATCTGATTTATGAGGTAATACAGTGATAATTAGACCTAAAACAACACCCTCAGGTTTTAAAAAACACAGTCATTTTCACATGAAGGTGATGGGATAATGTGAATATTTAGTGGCAGATTAAATTTATTAATGCTATACACAGAATAAAAATTAGAAACGAGATGAGGTCATTAAGCCCAACTAACTTGGGCCTAACTTAAGTTGCTAGCAGCTTATTTATCTGAGGATCTTATCCTGCTGTTTTTTTAAGAATCCAAAATATCATCTTAAACAATATGGCAGGTTAGTTTGTTCAAGACCCCTGCAACTATTTGTGTAAAAAGTGCCACTTTTTAAATTGTTCCAAACTTTAAATGTACTTTCCTATGGTTTCTGACCTCTGGGTGGTGGATTCTGTAGAAGTACATTGTGTTGACTTTGTCAATGCCTTTGGAAAATTTGAATAGCTGAATCCAATGCCCGCATAATATTCTCTGTTCACAACATTTCGGCTCTTTCAGCATGATAGTGTAGGACATTTAAGTTCCAGAATGTACCTGGTCTTCTCTGGTTCCAAATAGTCATTGTTGCAACATGTTGACCATAAATGTACACACTATTCTAAATGAGACTTAATCATAAACTCCATTCTGCTGGCTCAGCGTTTCCCATCTCACGTTATTATTCCTTCTAACAAGTTCGAGTAGGTAACTGCGTTAGCATGCGTTGCCTGCCAAGGAACAGGTAAAAATGTATCCCATCGTGAAAGGCAAAGAACGTTTCAGAAACTTTCTGCCTCTTTTCTTGCTTTTCAGCACGGAATAAACCTTTACAGTACCTTCTCTATTCTTTCTAACTGCTGTACATGTAACACTGCATTTATCTAAGCTTAACGTCACGGCCAGGTGTTTACCCAGTCTGCTTGCGAATAGTTTAAATTTTATGCCTAAGAAAAACATGTCTACGGAATCAAAAACATACAAATATCGACTATTTAAAATTGTTTTGGATTAGGAAATACTGTACAAATATTAAAGTAAACAATACTTTCAAATGAATTTAAAAAGATTTTAGTTATTAGATATAGCTATATTAAAGGTTATAAAGCACCACGATGTTCACATTATCCATTCTCTGGTTTCTGACGCACGTCAACAGATGTCGGTAGCTTCACATAGCTAATGAGATTAAAATAACATTTTAATTCCAAACCTGAGTTTGTTTCTAACATCAGTTCTATAAACATAGAATTGGAAGATCACTAGCGGAACATCGCAACTTGAGAATGTCTCTAAGAAATTCAACAGAAATTCTAAGAGAAAAAACACACCTTTACTTCTTATACCGCTCCTAAACCTTTCATCGCTGATCACTCTGCAGGGCTGCTCAGCTGCTTTTGCCAGTTCAATGTTTTCTTTAGGCGGCGCTCAGTTACGTATTTCGAATATGCAACTTCTTGATTGGCGCTGCTGCCCTGGAGATCTGGAAATGTCAGTGCAGTGAATTTCTGAGATTCCTAAGGGTGGGGAAAAACCCGTTTTTCCATTAACGGATAAAAAGCGTCTATCGCTTCGGGCTTGACGCCTAGTGAATAAAAGTTTTTGGTTTGCTGATTTAAAAAATAACGACTGCTGACAGGTAACTTTATTCAAATTGAATTCACTCGAATTTAGTATGTTGGTTTAAGAAGAGCGATGTGAGGTTAATGTCCGATATATATTTTTACTATATCGTAACGTAGTTGATTATTTATTCAATATAAACATGTCAACTTGTATTTCAGTCACACGGTGAAGGTTAGTGCGCCGTGATTCCTGACATGAGAATGAAGCCGTTATATATTTTGGGGAGACTTTGTTTTTGTTACTGGGAACTGTGTCGTTTGCTTTTGTGGTGTGTTTCCCTTGATACATTTTTCCTTGGGTTTTGTTCCATTGAGTGGACAACGATAACTCTTTGTGGTACAGGAATAAAAACAATAATGCAGTTTACCCAGCCTGTGCTGGTGGTTATTGACTGGAGGTCAAAATCATACCATGACACAACAGTCCATCAAAGGGGATACACACACACGTTGGGAGCAATTTAGCAACTCCACATAAGATAGACAGCATGTTGCTGGATTGTAAGAGGAAACTAGAGCAGTCAGAGAAAACCCCAATGGACATGGAGAGAACATACACACTGCACACAGAAGGCATCCCAGACGTGCTAACTTCCAAACTACCATCAATCTATCTCATTGTACTGTACTAGTATAGATGCACTCCAAATGAAGGCTTTAGATGTAGAAAATAATTTAAAAATGGACTAAATTCCAAACAGGCTAGATGGGCCAAATGGACTATGTTCTTATTCAACTTTCTTATGTTCCCAGGCTAAGTTCAGTTAAGCAAGCAAGAGTCCAGCTAGAATGAAAACCAACAGGCACTGGATTCAACAGAACAGGACAATGAAACCCAGGTTTAGCACCTTAAAGAATTTTATATTAAAGCTTTATAAATGTTATATTAAAGTTTTTACTTTCTTCAAAACTTCCTTTGAGTACAGAAAGTAAAACAGAACTTCCTCTTTGGCTGTGAAAAGAAAAAATTGGAACAGAACTGTGCCATCATTTAATTTATTTTGACTTTGTTGAAAACATTTTAAACTAAAATACCATGTACTTTCTGAAATGGAAATGCACGACAAAGAACAACATTCTCATCATTAAGACTTCTATTTAACTGCATTAAAGATAATATCACCTGTTTTCTTTTGTGTTTAAATCAGAATAGAAGATAAAGAATCCTTAAAACTATGCACGGATGGGTTTATACTTATTAGATTGCATGTATATACATGCATTTCTAAAATGAACAGCTTCTAAGACTGTGGGCTTGTAAATAAAAGCCTGCAAACTCTCTACCTTAAAGCAGAACCGTCACACATTAACTCGTCATGTTTTGTTATAACTTGCCATTAAAGTAGAACCCACATTAAAATTAATTCTGCAAAACACAACGTAAAAATGTATTCTGAAAGTACTTTATATCAAAATATTTATCTAATTCAACTTAAGGTTGCACAAATCAGGATATTTTACCATGTAAATAGTTTATACAGTAGCTAAAATACTCACAAATGTTTTGTTCAGCTTTATGCATGTTACATTAGCACATACAGTAAAGCAGGGGTAAATGACATACTGTATTTACAGATTTTACTATTAGATATGAAAACGAACAGCACAGTTAGCAACAAAGAAGCTTTTAAAACTCTATCAGTCGTGAGTAGATTTAATCCAGCAGAATGTTTTGTCACTGAAATGGCCTTTTTATGCATTTAACTGAAATATAGCATAACTGCTTTATAACAACGGTCAGAATAAATGGATAATAAGGTAACTATTTCACAAAAAGGAGAACAAGCTGGTTGGTGCCCATAACATGTAAACATTTCAGTTAGCCTTCAGTATTCGGCAAGTGAACGTCCTTATACTGCATATAATAACTTCAAGAGATTTTTCTCTAGCATTTAAGAACAGTGAAAACAAGCAATGTTTGTGTTTAGTCATTTTTTCCAAAAAAAAAAAATCACTCTGTTCCATAGTTTTAAGTGAATATGGCTGCGCTACCTTGAAATTATTTGTTTGTCCTACCACTGAGGTTCAGGACAATGTTTAAATTAAACTTTAAGGTCTAAACTAAACACTTCATTAAGCACTGTCAGAAGCAACACAGTAATAACAGCAGTTTCTGCTGTGATTCAGGAACTTGCATGGATATTTATTACTGGTTAGTTAATTCTTCCTAGAAAACGTCATCTTGACAAACACACAGTGCTAAAGGGAGGAAAGTTTATCATTTTTGGATTTATGTAATCCAAGTGTTAGTTATAACAATCCTAGTATGATTAAATTACATATTGTGCAGTAACACAATGAAAACAAAAAAGGTAAATTAAAGAAATTAGTTCAGTAGCTCGCACTAAATCGTTTAGAGATGCACTTTTATATTTATATAGAAGGACTGATCTGCAAATACCTGAGCCAAAAGCACTAGTCACTTTTTATCTTAGTGTTATAATAAAATAATTAAGGCCTTACCAATTTAAGAGATTCAGCTATACACAGATATATTATAATGGTCTACTGAAAAGTATAAAATACAATTTCTCTTTCCTAAAGTGGACTACCTAGGGTAGATGAAGATTGTAGTACTTTGTCTTGGATATTTCAGACCAGAATCCAACCTTTCACAGAATTCTCTCTAAACAACCTTCTGTAGTAAAATATTCCAGTGCTTTATAGTTTTTCCACATTGGTAGCAGTGACTTAGATTTTTCATGTTTCAAAACTTAAAATTAACGCCACACCATTACTTTGCAACAATCATGACACTGTCCAGTGGAGGACTGGAGACACATCCATTCATTTCTAGCTGATTTTAGGAGACTGCTTTAATTTTATGGCCTTGGCCAGAATCCCCATGCAATGCCAGGCAGCATCAGGGCAATGATGATAGAAGAAAAGAGGTTCACAGCATTGTTGTCCAGAATAGGCTTTCCGCTTATCCGCTTCGTATAATTTGTTTCGTAGTTCACAACCTTTCCAATGCTTTCATCATAACCTGCAAGACAAGTGTATTTATTAGTACATAGACAAATCACATTGACACACAGTTCCACAGTTTCCTTACAAAGAATGTGCTCCTGCTGGGAGTGGACAGTACAGTACTGCATGTAATATGTAGGAAACTGAAAGTGTTGAAGTATTGTTAGAGAAGAACACAGAGTAGAAAAGACTGAAAATAACCTGTTGTTTCACTGTGAGTCCTGAAAACTGAGGACAAAATAATTCATAAAGAACCTTCATAATATAAATAGCCAAAATTGCCTATTGCTTGCTGTTCTTTTGGAAAATCTTTATTCTGTAAGTATCAGTTATCAAGCTACGACTGCTATAATGCACCCAGAGAAGGAGTATCCGAGTAGAACCCCTCACAGAACCATTCATTTATTGAGACACTGCAAACTCAACAGCACCTTGCAGGAGAGGATGTGCCAACTGGAGGAAGAGAAGAGTCGCTCACAGATGGATATGCAAGTCCGTGGTTGCTCAACAAGGCACAGGAGCCAATGTTTTACCGAGAGCTGAGAAGACTCTGGCAGACAAATGTCCATCCTACGGTTCTAACATTTGTACACTGCCTCTTGGGGCATCCCAGTCATCGTCAACCTGTGAAAATGTGGCCATCAGGTCCAATCTGAATGCCAAGAAAGTGTTTTTAAGTCTTGAAAAGCCTCTATAAGCCCAGTTTGGGATTCTCAGTCTAATATTGCAAAGGAGAAACATGCGAATGCACTACACCAAGGCAGCTCAATCTGGAGTCCCAGGTAAGGTGCTACAACACTAGAGGGCAGTGTTGAGACACTCCAGACATTTCGCACAGGGATATCAGGGGATTGGCGTCTCCTGTCTGACACCCTGGAAGGTGGCCAGTTTCAGCAGCAATCCCATAGGGGACTGAGAAATGTTACAGACAGTCTGTTCTGAGGAAGAGAGATCAGGGATGTTTTGAGCAAAATGCCTGCTCATGTTTGACCTTCAGGGAAAACTCATCTCATGGCAAGGCATTAAATTCGTAGTGGAAGGTTAAAATCTTTAAGTTTAGGAGCACGTCGTCTGGGAGTGGGGAACTCCTAGACCTTTCTGGTTACTGAGAGCAGGGAAAACTCTTACAAGAGCAGCCTCGGTGGTTGCTGTATAAGCCTGCTGGTACAAAGGAAGACAGGAGTGGAGCAGCCAAATTAGGACCCGATCAAGTTGAGGTTTCTTTTCACTGCTTTCATTTCACTTCATTAGTAAGGTGCAGCAAAAGGAGCTGAAGGTGCACAAATGACAAAACCCAGGTTAACAGGTTAAAAATAACAGCATTGGTGCTTGTCACCATTAACAAGAGGGTTAGTGTGTGAAGGCTCCCCTACCCTTGGCTGCCATCAAAGGGGATCAGTCACAGCAAATATATATATATTTTATTCACAACTTTTAGGTATATGATGGAGGTATCTGTATCAGGATCCATTTCTCCTGCTCAAGTTTGCAAGACAACAATGACTAGATCATTAGCTTGACAAGCGAAAAACCCTGACGTGGCATGTATATTTAGAGAAGCAACATTCCTTTGCTCACTAAAACGTTAGAAAAAACCTGCATTGTTTTTATCAGTTATCTTTTCAAAGTAACCGCTTCTTTTCCATGTCATATTTTGAGACAAAAAGGTACATCTCATAATAGAAAGAGGTTGGTTATTAAAAGAAACACACCGCAGAGACCTTGGCGCTGGAAGATCGTCTCGCAAGACGTTGTCCATGACTCACCTGAATACTGCATCGTGGCTCCTAAGTAAGAATCCAGCAGTGACCCCAGGAATCCAGCTGCACCTCCGTACGCTATAATTGGCCACTGCGGAGCTGCCAGATGCAGATCCTTCACGAAAAGGAGCTGTGTGGTGAAGTATGCCAGGCCCACCACCATTCCTCCAAGCAAACTGGCCACCAGCCCCATGGGGGACACTCCTCCATTTGTACCTGAAGACAGCAAACAGTAAACACACAGTTCTCTTAGCCCCTTTGTAAATTATACAAAAAGTGAAATATCAGAAATCAGAAGACTTAACCATCCCCTCTCCCCTTTGTATCTATTACGGAGATTGCCATCTAACGATCAACATTTTATCTTGTTTGCATTTTATGAGGAGAATAACTTTTTGTATCCGCTCTCTTCTGGACACCTAGGTGAATCCAAGAAGCCTGGTCACTGATTTTTATGTGCAGTGATATCATCTCTTGAGGCTCCATTTCCTTTTCTGTATGATCACGAAAAAAGATTTTGCAGAGAGCAGCAGTTTACTACTGAACGCAAAGAATCATAAACCAAAAGAAATGTATGTGCTCAGTTAAAAAAAAATGGCAGATGTCACTCATTCAGAAAATTAAATGAGAATTTTTGGTTACTTTTTAAATTCTAAGACACAGAGATCACTGCTTCAAGATTAAAATACTTCACTGTCTGCTTTGAGCCAAAAGACGCAAAACACTAACCAGCAGACAGTCATGGGTTTCACTGTTAACATCCCCACATTTCATGTATCAATCTCTTTAAAGGGCCGTGACACTCACCAAGACATGCAGACTCAAAATGATTTAATGCCTTTAAAGACTAAAAGCACTAGAATGCTTACAAATCAGAATAAGCATGCAGTTTTATTATTTTCACCATTTAATGACCCCATAATGACAGCATTAAAGGTTCAATGTTTCACACATTTGGAGTAGACAGTTTGGTGACCAAACCCTGCTTTAACAAAATTGCAGGACTTAAAAAACACTCTTTCTTCCTAGATATTTGACCTCAGTTTTTTTCTTAGAATGCTTGCACTGTGCTAAGAAAATTTCTCTTGCACACTAGATAGGACAAAAAGTCCTGAAAATTGGATATGCTTTTTAGAAAAGCAAGAAGATTGCGTCAGCACTGCTTAATCATTTGAGGTCTTCTATGGAGTCCTTTAAGTTTTCTGTGTGAAATAAAAGATGTGACACAGTTTCACAAAAGTGACCAATTATACCCATTTATGTGTAAAACAGCCATTACTGAGTCAACCACAAGGTAACAGCTGGTTTGGAATCTAAGGCGTGTAGACATTTTACTAACACAATAATGAATCCAGATTTAGAACAATGACACCGAGTCAGAAAGTGTCAATCCAGGCAGTGGTTTGGGAACAAGTAAGAGCCCCTCTTTCCTTTGGTGCAAACACTCCAAATCCCTGCAGCAGTATAGACACACAGGACATCATGGTGCTGTGCTACAGTAGATGAAGGCCTTCAAAGGCAACCCAGGTCTGGAATTGAACCTGGAGCTCCAGCGCTGTGGGGCGGCAATGTAAACCACTGCACCACAGTGGTGGACTACAACCATACTCTTATTATTTAAAAATCTTTGCATGATTGCAGGAATGCAGCATTTTCTAAATGGAAGTGTCTTGTTCACCTATCTTTAATATGGTTCCGTTATGAATCCTAGTTATGGTGCCCATGGCTGAATGCCACTTCAGGCTTGCTCCATCTAGCACACCTACATTTTTCTCTTAATTTAACATGTGAAGCTATTACACCTTTCCATCTGGCCTGCTGTGCAGAGTACAACTACTTCAGTGGGAGATAAAGTGAATCTATTAGTACACGTAAAGCACTGGATGCAAAGAGCCACCATACTGTTATTATTTAAACAGTTATGTATGATGAGCCAGCAGCCATATCACCCTGCAGCTCTCAACTGGCTACCCACTGAAGCTAAGCCGGTTTGGGCCTGGTCAGTACCTGAATAGGAGACCTTCTGGGAAGCTATGGTTGCTGCTGGAAGTGGTGTTAGTGGGAAAAGCAGGGGGCACACACACTGCGGTCTGTGTGGGTCCTAATGCCCCAGTATAGTGGCGGGGACACTCTACTGTAGTGGGCGCCATCTTTCAGATGACTCTCAGTGGTCATTAAATCTCAATGTCTGGGCCAAATTTCCTCCCTCGGCCTTTACTGTGTCCTCCAAATTGTCCCCATGTATGACTGGCTTGCACTTGCCCTGCGATGGACTGGCGCCCTTTCCAGGATGAACCCTGCCTTGCGCTCGTTGCCAGGTAGGCTCCGGCTTCCCGCGACACCGTATGGTATAAAGCAGTTTGGCAAATGACATGACACTTATGTATGATTGCACCATTTTATAAATACATGTGTCCTATGTTCATCGATACATAATAATAGGATTCAGGTGTGGCATACTGTACATACTGTTTTACAGAAGATCCTTGTCAATGACCACGGATAAAAGAAACATTAAAAAATGATACCTACCCACAGGGACCTCTTTCCACGTTGTGATTAATCTCGGTGATCTTGAGCCGAGAACAGTTCCTACTTCAGATGCCCAGGTGTCCCCAGCACTGCATGCCAAGGCCCCCAGGAGAGCTAAACACATCCAGGTTGCACTGTACTGCTTCCCAAAGTCCACTGGAATCTCCCCTGGGCCTGTCTCAATCATGTACAGCAGGGCCAGCTCTGTAGGCACTCCTCCATTGCAGAAAACCTGCACCCAGTTCCTCTGGCCACCTGAAAAACAATCATAACTGTCTTTGTTATGGGGGTTCTGGGTCCCATAAACCCTAAACATAACCAGAACACCAGTACAAGGGACATAATTCAGCTATACTCCACGTTGAGCCAGTTAACACCAAAATAAAACAGATCTGTCAATCCCCACCCATAAGTTAATTTTTGTATAAATGAAATCATTTTTACCTTCTTTATATTCTGGATCTATACGTTTCTTAACTTCTCCCTTCCACTTGGTCAGTCTGGATGAAGTGACAAAAAATGCCAACAGAGAAGAGAAGAAGCTCATGTTGGCCATGGTAAGAATGAATCCAACTACCATTGCTGACAAAACAAAAACAAAAGAATAACAAGTTACAGCATTTTTTTTAGTGCAGCCTTTCCAAAACCAATACTTCAAATAATGTTTCACTTGTGGAAAAGTTCCATAATATGCTTTGGAATCCCATGATTTTCAGGAATCAAATAGAAACAAAGACTTAAGTGTTGCACTATGGATCAGACCTTAAAATCTAAAATGGATCAAAACCAAATAAAGTATTTGTGCCCTTTTTTACTCATATGATATTAATTTATAGAAAAAAATATGAAGGGTGAACAAATTATTTCTGCAGTAAGACAGAAAAATTAAATTAAATTAAAGGGTGACTAGTTTCATTCTTCATGTACTTTATTATATTGAGACAGAATGATTTACATTTTCCAATTCCAAGATAGCGAAATCCTAACCTCTGATACGTGAATTAACAACTGATAAAAAAGTTTAAAATGAGGTCTGGATCTTATGCACACAAGAGAATCTACTGCCGTCTTTTTTTTTTTAAATCCTGGAATCAAAAGGTGTATTTACACAAAAAAATTGTGCTAGGAATCCAATGCATTGTGTTTTGCAACAATGCACTGCATGGTATTTTCTTCTTCAGAGAAAAGCCTGAGCATGAAGACAAGTTTTGTAACCCTAAGACATACAATACTTATGTTATACTAAAAGTTATGCAAAATATTGTGGTGAATGACAGCACCATACGGTTCATCAGTAAAAATGTATGTTTAGAGAGGGCGTTCTACAGACAGGTTTCTTATATGTGGCATTAAGTAACTAAGTCTCAGCTCCTGAAATTCTATGAACAACGAAGTGCAAAGTACTACAGTTTTGTACGTTAACTGTGGTAACCTTATACTCTTAAACAAAGATGCTTTTAAAACACCTTTTCAACCTACAGCCAAATAAAAAGCATACTCTACCTCCCAGAGCTCCACTATGGTCAAGACTTTTCCTTTTCAGAGCACGTGAGGTAAGACACAAAGGGACCAAAATTGAAAACAGCCAGCGCCATGGAGAGACAGGCTGCAATGTACCTGGAAAATGTAAAAATATAGTGTTTTGTCAAGATTCTGAGGTATTGCATGATGTATCACATTTAAGGAATCCATAAGAATGAATCATTTTTACACAAAATCTGATTGATATGCAATCTCAGCTGAAGTGAACTTATTTTTTTAGTTTAAAATTAATTAACAAATGCTGTTGTACTGTCTTATGCATAGTATGTCTTTATGTTATCAGGTGCAAAACAAATTCTGTTTTTTGCATAGAGTTTGAACAAGAAAAATGCCATTAACCATCCACATTGTAAAACAGCTGACCAACTGAACTGGCTGATTCCCATCTCACATCCATTTTATTGGTAGTTCGCAATAGTTTAAGATATACACTATCCACTCCATCATAATATAATCTATACTGTCTACATGGCACAGTGTATATTACATAGAAACATCAGCCAAATTATTTGGTCAATATGGTCCAGAAATATTTTCAATACTTGCATCCCATATATATACTGTGCTTTTCAATCTGCCAAAACAGCAAACGCAGTTATTTGTGCTTTACAGCCTTATTAGTGATCAGAATATTAGTATGCCTAGTTAAATTTAAATATAGAAACGCAGAGTTCTTGCCCTAATCTTGGGAGTGTTCTATTTTTTTTCTTAAGCACATAATTTGCACACTCAGCTGGATATAAATA